TGAAGGATTATGTGCCTGTCTTGGATGAAAATCTTTCAAGGGTTAATGTGGGGGAGTACATCATGGTTGTTCCCAATGTCCCCTCTAGTGGCCCTGTGCTATCGCTGATATTAAACATCTTGAATGGTAAGCATTGATGCTCCATCAAAAAAAAAAAAAAAAAAAAAAAAGCCATCCTGAGTGGGAGTAAATGTTCTTCGGTCAGAGCTGCCTTCGAGTCACTATCGCAGAAAGCAGGCAACTGTAAGCTACATATTTAGTTACAGTACAGGAAATCCACTGTTAAAAGGGCATTTTGAGTAAATGCCACCTCAGATGTCTTGAGTTGTGTAACTGACAACCTCAGAATGTGTTTTTTACTATAATTTACACTTAAAATGCTGTGCAATATTGTAATGTAGATAGTTTGGACACCTGGCGAACCTCATAATAAAAATCAAAACAAGCCCAAAAATGTTTCAAACTTTCAATTTAAATAATGAGGGAAAACATTCACACGACATTCATTACATCATAGGCTATGAGTTTTGGATTTATTTGTTTATATTAACTCATCTTCTTGTTTTAAAGCTCTTTATGTGTTTTATGTTGATTATGTTATGGTTCTTGTATCAGTTTGTTCCTTCACTGCACATTATATATACAGGTTTTATTATTATGCCCAATCTTGTCTCCAATCTCCACCTTTTATGATCCCTCTTGACTTTCCTTCAACTACTCACCTCAGCAATATAAATACTTTTTGTTTTTATTTATTTATTTATTTATTATTTTTTTGTCTTTAAAATATAGGTCAGCTCATTTGAAGTGGGATTCTATACAATGTAATGAACAGGTAATATCTTACCTGTTGTAGATAGTTCTTTAAACATTATCAGTTTGGAAAAACAAAGTATAACTTTAACTGAACTGACAAGCTAATGGCTAGTTTGAATTGAACTCGAGCCAAAAGGAAACTGATACTCAGCCTCTGCTTGTTTGCGTGTTGAATTTGGTAAATGTAAATGCAGAGCAGAACATTTTGATAAACAATCAAATTGTACCGAGTACTGCAAGCCATTTTAATGTATAATAAAATCACAATTCTCTAATTACAATTTTAAATTATATATATTAATAGTTCATCACTGGCCCATGAAATCCAACTTAAAAATATCTAAACAATTCCTTCTACGGATTTTTTTCTTCCTTCATGTTTGCGTGACCTTGATTTCCTCTCACAGATAGCCTTGTTATGTTTCTAGATTTCCTTCCTTTCATATTAACCCTTATTGAGTCATATTGACACAAATAATCCTGAGATAATTTTATTAAACTGATTAAGATCTAATGTTTCTTATTGGTCTCATCATGCAACTATGTACTGTATACTTTTATGTACGTCATCTATTTGACAGCTTTGTCCTACACACAGACCATAAAATCTAAACTGCTGGTCTGTAAAGATGCTGTCACTCTGCTTCAGCTTCATGCCAGAACTCTGACAGTATCTGCCGCTGAGGATTAGATGAGAAACTTTTTTCTCAAAATAATTAACTGACAAAAATTTCTTTAAATTTTTCACTCGCTGTGCCCCCCTGCCTCACATCCAAAAATTAAAATCACAGATTTCCTTCTAATTGGACACTGTTGACTTGTTGACAGCTGAAATTCATCAGCTGCTGAACTCTGTTCCTCTTCTAAGGTTCATATCTGTCTGGTCATGGTGATTTTTTTGACAAAATAAAAGCACAGAGTGAGTTATGTTTAGCCTGTCTGTCCTTTATCTTAAAATCAGAATAGTTGAGGACAGAAGGGGAAGGTTTGAGTTTTAAACAAGTGTTGATAGAGGTTTTAATAATTAGTTTTGTTTTTCAGGGTATAATTTCAGTACCGATAGTGTGGCGAGTACAGAGAATAAGATCCTAACCTACCATCGCATCGTGGAGGCATTTCGTTTTGCATATGCAAAGAGAACCACACTCGGGGATCCAAACTTCCTCAACATCACAGAAGTAAGTTCAAAGGCTGAAGAAAGCACAAGAAGATTGGTGGCCCTGTACGGGCCACCAATATGTAGTGTGCTAAGGGCTAGGTTAGCTTCACCCTTTCACTACAATATATTTAAATAACGGGTTCTCTCTTTTTCGAGTTAAATTACTGCCATGTGACCGAGGTAACTGTGCGTGGATTGTTTAATCAGTGACATGAGACGTTAATTTCCTTTGACGCATCAGAATAAATGCGGTCATTTATTGAACAGAATCAAAATTTACCATCAAAACATTGTACACTTGATTAGCTGATCTGGTTCTGATTAATAAAACTTGGCATGTTTTACTTAATAAGACAACAGAACATTGAAGAAGGCATCTAGACTACTGGAAAAATAGAAGAGTTTAAAGATGGGAAATGAAGGAGTTTAAATGGAGAGAAAAGATGGATGAGGGAAAGTGTGTTGACTAGGAATGGCACCCTTCATCCGACCCCAGCTCAACCCTGGTATACTCGGTGCGTGGCGACTCGTTACCTTTGCAGAAGATAGGTGAGCTCCGGTACAGAGGTCCATTTCAACGCTACCTTTCAGCGTCTCTGGTCAGGGTGGCTGAGAATCGTCTGAAGTAGTGACGGTACTCCATTCAACAGAATAAGCTTCCTTAGAAGTGGAAGGGCGCTACGCCCGGTTGAGTTCACAGCGAGGCGCTGTGACTCCAGCTGGGATGGACGGACCCTCGTCTCACGGTCAAATCCATCAGCTATTGATTAAATCTGAAAGTTCTGTAGGAACTCTCAGGAAGACTTCAGTCAGAGATTCCACTCAGAAGTGGAGGACTCCATGAAAGACTGAAGAAGACCCCAGGAAGACTCCGGTCAAAGACTCAAGAAGACTGAAGACTGAGAAGTTCCAGGAAGTGTGGACTCTTAAAGAGTTCTCACTTCCGGTCACTTCAGGACTTCCTGATTGGTTGAAACAACCAACAGGGGGTGGTTCTAGTGATGTCAGAGGGTCATTACAAGTCAAGAAAACAGCAGGAATGTTTTAGGGACTTTAAGTACAGACAGGAGAAATGTTATGACGACGTGAGAGCAAGTAGGTGCCAGTAGCTTCTTATTTACCGTCTGCTAGGTTTAAAAACAATCCACTTCGTTCTAATAACTCCTTTCTGACTTTCGACCGACATCACTACTTCTAATTTCAGACAGAAGATCAAAAATGCATAATTACTTTGTAAATAGGCATTTAACTTGATTTCTAATTTAAATGAGGATTAAAAAATCATTAATACTGTTTCACAGTTGATTTAAAATGAGTGGTTCACTTCAACATTTAGAAATGGTATGAACTAAACTCACTTTTGATTTATCAAGATATTGTAAAATAGTAATGATAATATAAAAGAAGAGTGTTCTTTCAATTGATTAGTTCGGGATACAATTAGACAGTCTCTTGATGAGCTAATTTGTATTTCTGGATTCAAATCAATGAAATAGCAGTTCCTGTCCCATGAAGGTCCTCAAAGGCAGGTTTTGGTCGGAGGCCGAGTTCACTACAAGAGTTTAGTTTTAGTTTGGGATCATGCAGGGATTCAAACAGTAAAAGAAACTTCACCAGCTGTTCTTGCAGCACACGGCCCTTTTCAGCTAATAATTAAATGCATGAAAATATAGGCTTCTAAAAGTATTAACACAGCAATAGATTAGCTTCAAAAGTTAACATTATGCCACCACATTCATAGCAATGTACTTCTATGACAACACAGAAATTCAAGTAGACTTTTATTAATTTTAGAGAAACATGCTCTAAACAAGGCCCTACTGTAAGATAAAATGCTGATTTCAAAGGTAAAAGGGGAAAAACAGATTTTACTTAGATTTCTGTGTTTACAAATGTGAACAAGAAGTGATCTGTGTACTAAAAGACAAAAACCCCAAAACTGCCTGAACACAAGTTAAAAAAGAATAAACTAATTAACCATCTCAGAAATAAACAAATATTTGTCATTGTGTTGCTTTAAAATGGAAACTTTAGCATGATGGCTTATAAATAGTGCGTTTTTGTCCTAACTTCAAAATAGCGTTTCATGATTTCATGCTGCCAGCACTAGATTTTCTACATTCGCCTTATAATCTAGCTGTTTTGCTATTTTGTCATCTTATTTTAATTTGTATAAAAAATTAAAAAAAAATCAGTATACCTCATTTATGATTGTCTACTGTTGTTGCTGTTGTCCATTGTTGTCATCATTCTATAATGAAATCAGGTCTCTCTTGTAAATGAGTCCTCAAGGCTCAATGGGATTAACCAGTCTAAATAAAGGCTGAATGAAAAATGCAGAAACAACAGAAAAAAGTTGGTGATTAAAAATCTTCAAGTTAAAACACAAAGCTGACATCAGCTAAATTAATACAAACTCATATATTACTGATCTTTTTCTCTGGTAACAATGTTTTTTTTAAAGTTTGAAAAATATGAAGTTGAAGATTAATACACATTTTCCCCCCTTTAAGGTACTCCAGAACATGACTTCCAGTTCTTATGCAGAAATCTTCCGTGATAAAATTACGGATGAAACAACACACCCAACAAGTTACTAC